ATTGTAACGAATCATAATCCAAATCAATGATCCAAATAAAATGACATGAATTGTCTGACAGCAAAAGTGATTTTTTTCATTCGAAGTTTTCGGATTATTTTTTTACATGCTTATTGTCTTTATGAAATCAATGAAAAGGATAATCAATGCAAAATGAAAAACGATTGTAAGTAAAAGATTCTCTTTTTTCTCTTACCCGAAATACCACTTGGGCATTGGCATGTGAAACTTCCAGGCGTGTTTATGCAAAGAGAACCTTGTGGACAAACATCTGGCGAGTGTTTACATTCGTCATCATCAACACAACCACCAATTCGATCGGCTGATCCAACAAAACCTGGTACACACAAGCATTTCGCTTCTTGATTCACGATCATACAATTTGAGTTTGGTCCACAAGCAAGACTTTCACATGGATGTCGACAATCATTTCCAACATTTGGTGTTGGGCACAAACAACGTTGGTGCTCATCACAAATGGCATTTCCAGGGCAGTCATTATTTGATTTGCATGTTACTACGGTTATGCAACGAACACTTGGATCGGGATCTGGAATTGAACCTTCTGGGCAAACACATTCGAATGTACCGGCTCGGTTTAGGCACAGCGCTCCTTGACCGCAACGATTTGGTTTTGAGCATTCATCGATATCTGAAAATTGGAGGAATTATTTCATTAATTGAGGGAATCAGTCAATTAAAAAAGCACTTGATTATTTGAAAAAAGTTCGTCTTTCTCGTTCCAGTTTAAAAAGAATCGAAATTCAACTGTTCAACGTACCAACACATTGAATGGCCGCATTGCCTGAAATCAATGGAAAGGATAATCAATGCAAAATGAAAAACGATTCTAAGTAAAAGATTCTATTTTTTCTCTTACCTGAAAATCCTGGTGGACATTGGCACGAAAAGTCTCCTGGCGTATTTGTGCAAATTGCATTCAAACCACATCTTCCTGATGGCCCATGAGCTGTGTCACATTCGTTAATATCTTGACATCCGGCTGCAATATCATTTGGATTGTATGTCCATCCTTCATCGCAAACACAGTAAGCTTCGGTTCCATCAGCTTTGCAATAAGCATGTGGACCACATTTCACATCTTCGCATGGTGTTTTGCAGCCAACTCTTGGTGGATTCCCAATCATACCGCTTTAGTTGGGGAGAAAGTGAAAAAATTGGTTAAAAATCAAATTGGAATCGGATCGTGACATAATGAACATAGGTTTTTTTCCTTTTTGAAAACGAATTAAAAGTCTTTCAACATTTGAATAAGAAAAAAAAAACAAAGAAATACTTACTCAGGGCATTCACATCGATGTGCTCCGGGTGTGTTAATACAAATGGATCGTTCTCCACAAGTGTTACTATCCGTTCGGCACTCATCGATGTCAACGCACACATTGCCTTGTGGCTCAAATCCATTTTGGCAGAAACATTGTCCGTCAATACATTCCGCATTTGTGGTACAGTCGAAGTTACTCTGACACAAAATATTCACATCGACCTGTTCACATGCAATTTTCGGATCAGGTTTAGCCGCATACCCCTGTGGGCATTTGCAATTGTAGCCTGGATTGGCATTTTCACAAATTGCACTCGGCGGACATGGTTGCTTCAACGCCGAGCACTCATCAATGTCAGTGCATCCTTTGTACGGATTTCCCGTGTAATCGGGTTTGCATGTGCATGCAAAACTGCCAATTGAATTTGTGCACACGGCATTAGCACCACATGGATTCTCCACACATTCGTTAATATCTGGAAAGGATTTTTGTTGCAAAAAAAATAAATCGTGATGAAAATTGAATTTAAAAAGAAGAAGATTTGAAGGAATCGAAGATTGAATATAACCTCTGGTTATGTCTGTTCAAGACAAACAATGTGAAGCAAAGGAAAAATAAAATGATCAAAATAGCAATTAAAATATTTTACCTTGACATTCGTTCATTGGATCACCGATAAAACCTTCTGGACAAGAGCATTGAAAGCTGCCTTCATTGTTGCGACACTGTGCATTTCGGCCGCACGGCAATCGTGCGCATTCATCAAAATCTTTGCATCCAATCGTTCTAGCATCACCGTCATATCCTTGCGGACACTCACATTGATAACTACCTTCTAAATTGATGCAAATGGCGCCAGGGCCACAGGCATTCGGATGCAAACATTCATTTATATCGACGCAACCATCGAAAGGATTGCCTTCGTAACCATGTTTACAAGCGCACGTATGATTACCAGGTGTATTGATACAGTCGGTATTAATACCGCACGCGCCCGGATGCAGGCATTCATTTACATCTGTACACAGCTCTTCGCCGTCGCCTTCGTAGCCCGGCTTACATTTACACACGAAATGCGCTGGCAAATTACAGCATTCAGCGTTTTCAACACACCTCGCCGCTATGCTAGGATCTTGACATTCGTCGATATCTACACGATAGCGGATGGAATATTAGGTTTTTTTTCTCTTTAGAAAATTGTCTTAATCTTTAGATTTTGTTGTGAAAAAAAAAACTATAAAATCACGACAATTCGGTAATTACCTTCACAGTGAAAGCCATCGCCGTGATAGCCCGGAAAGCACGAACACATAAAACTGCCTAATGTGTTCGTACAATGGGCAAAAACATCACATGGACGGTATTTGCACTCGTTCTCATCTGTGGGAACAAAAGTGATTAAGTAATATTCTAAAATTGGTCAAGTCATTCAAATGGTACAATTTTTTCCTTGTCTTCCAAACAAATGGAAGAAAAGAAACTGCATTTTAAATATTCTAATAGGTTAATGGCGATGAGAAGCGAAACATAAAAACCATAACACTCACCTGGAACTTGGCAATTACATCCTCCATAACCGTCGTTACAGTGACATAATGAGTCCAAGCACGCACCATTTGTACACGATGTGTCATCTTTGTCACAATCATCTAATCATATTTATCGATTCAAGAGCAAAAAAGAAGAAACGAAGAGAAGACAGAAAAAACGGTAATTCAAATAATTAGAAAGCCATAGAACGGAAGGAGAAATCAAAGAATTCTGGTTATCTTGACGATTGACTTACTTGTGCACTTTAACTCTTTAGCTAATTCATCGGATGACATAAAACAATCTTGATGGCCATCACATAATTTCGATAATTCGAATAATTGTAAATAATCTGTTGATTCGTTAACTTGACAGCCAAAATAGCCGTCTTCCAAATTTAGAAAAAATATTTCGCGTTTTAATCTCGTATTACTTATTCTGTTTTGTGACAGTGCCTGTTGAGGAGGGAAAACGGAAAAAAAGACACATTAATATGATGAATGTTGCGCATTTATATCGTTTAATTGATAAAAATTGCAGATAATTTTGAGCTAACGACGGTGAATTGAGTGCCATGGTAATTTGGTGAAAATCATCTTGGAATAAAGTCATTAAGAACACCGCACACAATTGAATGTGACGACGAAAAGAGAAAATAGCAACAACAAACGACACACTCCTTAGTTTAATACTTCCGTTTCGATTTTTTACCCATTTGAATGGAACTCGAAATTACACTTACACACACACATGCCGGAATATATTAGCAGTTCTAGTTAAGCTATCATTACGATGTGTGGTTGGACTTTTTTGTTGTTGTTTAGCGACTCGATATTCGCAATCGTAAGCAGTTATCGAAATTTTACCGCTATAATTCGTGAGATTATTCATTTTGAAATCACAATTTTAAAATGCATCTCGCTGAAATCATCATCTCCAACGCGAAGTGAGTGAGTGTGTGTGGGTCTCTCTTATTTCTCTTTGTTCTTTCGGAGGCCTATTTTTTTCTATACTCTTTGTTTTTTTAAATCGTTTTTATTGCTGTTTCTTCCCGTACCATTTGCATGATGTGACGATGTTACGAGAAGAAAAGAATCCAATTATTTTTCAAAAGTCGGGTGTACTTGAGTCATTTCTTGTTCGCTCTTTAGTTGATTTGCAGTTTGCAGGTTTTTGTGGGATACACACAGAGTACCAGGCAACGATGCAGTGGAGAGCAGAAATAAAAATGCTGATCTTAACTGTTCGTTCAAATAACTGGTTAGCCAGCTCATGAATTAAAAGAGAGAGAGAAAGAACACGTTGTGATACTAAGAAATAGGTTCTCTGGTTGCAAAATACAAAGCCAAAGCGATTGAAATTACGCGCGTTTGACACTCACTATTGCCGTTATAATCGCCCATTCGTTTCCATTAGAATCTAGTAAGATTTTCGCTTGGCCGTGATTTTTTTTCTTCTCTGTTTCTCGGCTATCGATTCGTTTCGACATTTCTCTTCTGGATTTGATCGATTTTATTGGAGTTGTAGGCTAGAATTAATACGATATTCATCGTACGAATGAGGAGCATCCATTAATTTCCATGATTTTGAACCAAGCACAACTGGCAAAAAGTACACACAGTTTCATTTCGTTTGGCCACAAAAAAATGATCAATTTCCATAGATTTATATCACTGCTATGTGTGTGTGCCAGCGCGGTGTGTGCTAGCTAGATTTTTGAATTTTACCATTTTTCTTGGCTGTGTTCTTTTTTGTTCCTGCCATTTATTTCGTGCACATTTTTGCATATAGAATTACATCGTGCTGCATGATGCCGAGCCAATTTCAGTTTGAGCGCGATCGCGCACGCTCTGATTGAAATTTCAGCCTGCGCATTCTGTGCATTTTGAGGATAGAAATGGGAGAAAAAACAAAATATTCCGCGCGCTCAGCACGGAATATATTACACTTGGGAGAAAAGACCAATATTTAAATGTGTGTTTTTTTTTTCATCCATTTGTCGATTTTCTTCGTCGGCCAATTCGAAACATGGATACGATTCAGGTATACATTGTTAAATTGACGTGTACATGCTGCGAACCATATGATATGATTGAAAACAAACTTTTAGTCGAAATCAAACACATGAAATCTATCGGTACAACCAGGAATCTATATATGCTATTCACATTTCTACTACTCTTCTTGTGTATGAGTGTATGTATATTGCAACGTTTATCCCATGGCTTTCCTAGCCGCAAGTGTTGTTGTTGTTTGAACAACGGAACCAACCGTTTTTATATTATCATTATTTTCTTCGTGCGCTTTATTTGGGCTTAGTTTTTCAAGTGCCAACTGGAAACAGAAACAGAGTTTAAATTCCGACTACAACAACAGCAATAGCAACAGCAACACGAAAGAAAAAAAAAATACCGTTGAAGTTGAATGCACACACACATTTTGTGTCTGATATGCACACTGGGTGTCGTCGTTTCCCAGCTAACAAACAGATAATACGCGATACATTTGTGCATTCATATGCACATACGCGAATATTATACCTTAAACTCAAGATTTAGTTTCCTTTTATTTACTAGATTTTGCTGTTGCTGTTGTTGTGGTTGTGGTTGTCTTTGGGTACTTGTAGCTCTCTTCGTTTCAATAATAAACGAATGAAGAGAGGAAAAAAAGAATACAACAAGCGAACAATCTAAAACAATCGGTCATTGTTCGAATGCATTGCGCGCTTTTGTTGCTTAGCATTTGGACGCATTGTTTCTTTTCTCCCTCTTCATCCAAGTACCTTCTTTCTGCTATAATGACACTTAATGACCTTGTTTGCACGTAGATAACACTTGAACTCACTGCGATAATGGTAATGATTGCCCTTTCCAATGCAAAATTGCATAATACTGATGTAAGCATTAGAAATGCAAGGGAAAATGTTTTGGCCGCATCTATATCTGCCGAAACGGAAGATTGTAGAAGGAATAGAATGGAGAGAAAAAAACGAAACGAAATATTGTCGACGAAGAGAGGCAGAAGAAGAAACAGAAAAAAAAGGTGACTAGTGATGTATCGAGTTGAATAATACAAAGTCGTGAACATTGAATGTCATATGCCAATTTGGCGGCAGATAAATCGTGAGCGAATCGTAAACATAAGCGCTTTTGATGATGATAATAATGTGAATCGCCAATTTAGTGACGAGAAAAAAAGAACAATTTCAATTGAACATTCCAATCGATTGCCATGAGTGTTTCTAAATCCTTTCTGACTGATTTTTATTTGAACCCTTTGGCTCGATCCAGCTCCTTTTCAATAAATATTTTAAATGCTCTTAAAGACCTTTGTGTCCCGCTGTTTATTTTTAGATGTCGACTGGATGCGGAAAAGTAATAAATTTAAAAAATGCCGAGCGAGAGAGAAAGAGAGAGAGACAGGGCGAGAAGAAGAAAAATTACGCCAAGATGAAGAATTTGTGTGTGCAAATGTTGTGTGTATGGCATTCAACCGCCAGCAGACGTCGCATTGGATTATTATTATATATTGTAGAAATTCTCCCGAACAGAAGAAGCACAAACGCTAACACAAAAGGACAGACGAAATAATAATATTGAAATTGGCTAAGAGGCGTACAAGGTACAGGATAAACATACACAAGGATGGCAAACAAAATCGACCACGAACGAAAATAAAAATTGTTTGCACAAGGTGAGCGAAGATGCAAGCCGAGAAGACAAGAATGAAGCAATAACACACATAACATTGAAACATGAAGAGAAGAATGGGATACTTAGGGCAATGTGAAGAATTCAGCCAAGTCGATGGTCAAGGTCGAAATGACGAAGAATGGAATGCATTTCAGTTTGTGGTGTGGTAGTTCACGTGAATCACAGAAATAAAGATGAGCAACCCAAAAGCACCGCACCACTGGTAGCCTTTGCCTTCGTTTGATGAGATCATAGACGATGCGGCATATGTATACATATATGCGAATCAACTATCTTTTGCTCGATTCGGAAGATAATATAAATGAACATAAAGACGTGGTCATTTCAACCGGACAAATTAAAAAACAAACAAGAATTAAGAAGCAATAAAGAAAAAAATCGCTGCTGCTGACGACGACAGCAACGACGATGGGGGCATTCGTGTAGCATATCATAGTTATAAATAGCCATCGATTAGGATTGCGTTGTGTATCTGATAGAGACTCATAATTTAGAAGGAAAACATGATTAATTTCATCGAGAAAAATGGTTACACAGTCGGTATAATCACCACAGACACGATCTGTACATACTGACATATGTGAACTGTTGACATTTTTTCCCTTGATTTCGGGATTCAATTATTATCACGTTTGAATGACATTATTTGTTTGTTTTAAGCGCTTGTGCTTTAATTGATCATTTGCATTGGAAAGGAGCATGGAATGGTGAATGAGTGTGTGTCGATAATGTCTTTATGATGGGTGATCATGATGCCATCAGAATAGCAAATCAAATCCACATATGGGTGAACAAAAGTCACTTTAATTGATCACGTTGCCCATCACATCAACGAACGAACGCGAGCGAACGACGTTAATGTTTATGACACAGATATTTTCATGCCAATCGACTTCGAGTCACATTTAACGTTTCATCGAATTCCTTGAAGCGACGGAAAAAACGTTAGATTAAAGAGAAATGCAACGGGTGCGCAATCGTGTGCTGTGCATGCCACCAGATCGTGCTACTTGACAACAACAACAACAAAAAATAAACAACATAAATAATTGAATTATTCTACAAGCTCATGATTGAATCACATCAAGATCTTCCTTTTTGATTCATTATGCCATTGTCAATGTGCGTTCTTGTTTTTAAAATAAACAACTATCATTAAATTATGCAACAAGGCATATGCAAAAATTTATTTTATGGTCAATTCAGCAGCGGTTTCTCTTTGAGATTCAACTTATTAACGATGTGGTCATTGAAACCCGACGAAAAAAAAACAATTCAGAGTGTTGTTGTGCACCTCTTTATTCCACATTGCTGTAACCGTAAATACAAAACCGTCATCCGATTGGAGTGCACGAAATAAAGACGAATTTTTTCCCTTATCTTGGCATATTTAAATGGTTTTTTTATATACTACTGATTGCATACTAATGAGTTCTTTTTTTTAAACACTCTGAAACTGGCAAATTTCTTCTTTTTTGTCGCCTGCACACATTGAATGGGATGTGTCTTTTATGTCAGAAACTGTTAATTTATGCGCGTCACATTGTCAGGTACCTTCCTACTTTTTTTTCGTCGTTGAACATTTGTGTTTTTTTAATTGACACTCCTTCCTGTCGATGATGATGATTTGTGTGTTGCTGACGATCCGGCCGAAGCCGATGATTTACAACTAACATGGCACTTTACAGTGTAAAGTAAAGTTAACACGACCATCGATGTCGTCATAATATACAATTTCCTTGTCTTTCATATTTCATTTGATAAACATCATTTGAAAAAAGAAATAGAGGCGATACTTACCACATTAACTGTTAGCACAGACCAAAGGACTAGAGGCAAAAATGTTTTCATTTTCGCTGTGAATAAAAGAAGAAAAAATAAAGAATTAAATCGGTTATTAATAACACATTACACGGTTTCCTTCTTAATTGATAAAATGTGAGGATTATAAATGAAAATAGAATCTAATCTTGAAATGTGAGCATAAATAAATTGCTATAGTCTTCCCCAAGTGCGGTCAACTAACGTTTCGCTAAAAAATAATAATAATATATGTGTGTAGGCTAAAAAATAGTGTTGGTTTCATAATCAAATTGTGGCTTCTTTAGCGCTTCGGTATTTGGGTGCATAAAACAGCACACTAACACACACGCGCGTGTGCCTGCGCCACAAATTCTCTCACAAGTTTAGTGCGCACGTATCGTCACTATTGAAAATTTATAATACCATTAATTCTATAATGTAGTGTGGTGAACAGTTATCCACGATTTGCAAATGCTTTTGAAATATACGCTCAGCAAAATGTTAAATTGGTACATTGTGCATCAATCGCGTAAAAGTGTAATAAGTGCTAGCAAGCGCGGCGCGTATAACGGTGCGCGTGGCACACAAAAACCTAGCTTTAGCAGAAAAAATAAAATCAAAAACATCCATGATTTTCACCGACAGCATATAAAGAGAATTTAATTAGAAAATTTTCAAGAAATTAATTAAATTGTGGCGAAGCCTACTTCGAAATTGATCAGAATCATCAGCATCGAGATGAATTTCGATGAAATTTTCTGCGGTTGTCTATCAAATGAAAATCACTAGTAACGGGAATGATTTAATGAAATTTCCCTCAAAAAGACAAGCAGAAAAAAAGAGCGTTTTAACCATGACGAATATTTGGACATGGTCGTCTGAATATTAGAAATTAATGAAGCTAATTACTTTGATGAATTTCTTTTTACGATGACAGTTTCATATCGAACAATATCGCCATGTTGCCGTGCGTTCATTTCGTGTTTGGCCTGAGGCGCACAAAATCCCATCTCGATTCTGCCATGAGATTGGCGAAAAGCAAATAAAATGCACGTGATTTGCGCACAAAGTTGCATTTGATGCGGATGACATGGAGTACCAACTCACACTCAACTACCATGTAATTTGGATCCAATCAAATCTTTAGCCGCGACCGAATGGACGGGAGGGAGAGAAAGAAAGCCATTTTTTCCATTGTATCAATAACGATCTGTTTATAATACCCATTTTATGGTTGTGGCTCGAGTTGAAAATCGGAAATTACATAGAACATTGTAAAATGGCTTTTTATGCGCGATCTGTTGTGTGTGTGTGTGTGTACGCCAAAACATGCCACAGATAACAGCCGACCGATGGAGCAACATTTAAATCGATTCAATTCGTTGCATATTAAATTGAACGGAGAGCACCTAGAATATTCTATGCATTTCGCGCATAAATATTCGAAAAGAATCGCAAAAGCGATTCGTATCGCTTGCATTAACCATTAAAGTTGATCAGTGTGTTGTTTTAGATTATTTATTGACCACACTCTATCTCACTCGGTGTATGGCCGGCCGATAGAGATTCAGTTGCGGCGTACTGTTTCTTGTTGGTCGCTTTTTTTCGTGTTTCTGACGAACGCGTAAGAGTGATGCAACTCTCAGCAAATTAAATTTATGGCTTTTTGCACTTACAAAGTCCATGCACATGTGTGCTTTGCTGCCTGCAACACACAACCCATAAATCAAATTATCTGACCATTCTTCTTCTTTGGCCGCTCTCGCTCTCTCACACACACACACACACACACACACTCAACTCGGCGATTGGCGACCGAAGTGCATTTTGATGGGGCGACTCAATATTTTATGTGGAAAAACCTCTAAGGCTATCAAACATTCAATCAAACCAATTGTGGCCGGTTGGACGAACGTCATGAATATTAAACGCAACATTTTTTTTGTTCGTTCGTCGCAAAATATTACCTGGGCCTTAGCCAGAAAAGAGAGTCATTTACCTTGCTGTGCAAAGGAAATGAATTTATATTATATATATAAAACGACTTGGAGGAGAACATTTGCTAAAAAGATACTTTCCAAGGCAGTAAAAATTCCAATTAATATCTATTCAGGTCTTTTTTTACATACGGCCAGCACTGAATGACCGATTCAAACACTGCTGCTGCTGCTGCTGTGATTCAACAAATTCTTGATGTTTTTTTTCATCCACTCTTCATCCAATTTCAATTTTGCGCGCGCACAACCGTTTTTTCTCTCTCCTATGTGTGAATTGTTCGGTTTATTGTTCTATTCAATGATGTTTGGTGTGTGTTGCTTGAACTTGAGAGCATTGTAAACGACCAACAACAACAACACTTCAGCACTTTTGTAACTACCGATACATGGGCAAGTACAAGTACAAGGTTTTCCAAATCATCCGAACTTCGAAATCGATCAATACCATCGTAGTTTGTGCAATAGCCACATAATAAACAATTACTGCCCGTAACGCGATGAAAGAAAGAAAGGAAAAAAAATATATATACGAACCACTGACTGAATCGATTGAATTAAGAGAAGAATAAACGAGAACACAAATAAATAACGATCATTTCAATACGAAACTCTTTTTTTCTTCGTTATATCTCTCAACCGAGAGAGATAGAGAGAGAGAGATAGAGACAGAGTGAATATAACACACGGAGCGCACACAATGTTTGTGTCGCGCATGTAAGGCCAGAAAACAAACTAATCGAAAGCAGATAGAAATTTAGCATTCGAAGTGGTTGGCACACGTATTTAAAATGAGAACAAGACAACTCGAAGACGAACAAAAAGTTAAAAATGCTTAACGTGAAACTTGACGCTTGTTTGGGAACGAGAAGAAGTGGATTCGATAGCATGCTGCAATCATCGACGAACGAAACGAAACGAATGGAGCAAAAAAACGAAAAACAAAAATTGACTAAGTCCAAAAATGAAAAGTGTAGTAAATAGGATGGAACACGATAGTTAGATAGATTTGTATCCCGAAATGTTTTACAATACCACGATCGACGTCGCATTTTTTTTTTCCTGTCTTCCGTTGCCATGATCAGCGACGAAGGTTTTCTGTTCGGTGCGCTGTTCTCGTCGGTTCGTCGTGGTCGTTTTTTTCCTTCTTTTTTTTCAACTATCCAAAAGCAACAAGGTTCTGTCTTATTAGATCTCGGAATTCGAGTGCATTTTTAATTGAAGTCAACAACATGTGATGTCGATAAATTCGCGTGTAAAACAGACATTTCGTAAAATCGGCACACTGATTCGTCGCAATACCGAATCAAAATAACATGAGCATTGAGTCTTCTGGAAAAGCTCAATCGGCTCTCTGAAGTCAGCGAGAGACAGAACAAAAGATTCAAGTTCACTGACCTACCACTTTTAGTTTTGCCAACCAGCGAAAAATCCAAGAAGAATAAGAAGAAGAAGAAGAAAAAAAGCATACACACAACTCGAAGTGAGCATAGCACAAAATGAGCGCGAACGCGCACGCTCGCACACCTTCGTGAGCTATGCTAAAAACCGCATAACTTTTCACACAGACCGAAATCGGTGCGCTCTGGAATGCCTCACGTTCAAAAAGAAGCCTTGGCTCGAAAATTGATAAAGAAAGTTCACAAAAGCATACACACACACATAAACAGAAAGATTAATTTATGCAAGTGAATTTATAATAACGTTTCACAGAGAATACGTTAATCTGTTTTTGTTTGCTGTTGTGCGGAGCAGTTTTGTTAGCGCGGCTGACGCTTGAGAAAAGACAAGCGAAAAGCACAAATACACACCGCGCGAGCGGAGAGAGAGAGAGAGAAACGATCTTTTTACACGACTCAATCAATCTTCTCAAGATTTTGTGGCATTCATTATCGCTTAAATTGCTTTCCACGTATATTTTCGTGGGTCTGTTTGGTTTTGTTCGGCGTTTTTTTTTCTGCACACATCAAAACGTTGGCTTGAGAACGAGAGATTCGCATCTCGATGATGACAACAGCACGCCGTGCGAGTTCTGAGATCTCAGAAAATCTCTTGCTGGTCATTCTTTATGATTGTTTTTTCTTTTATTTTCTATCATTACGGCGATTTTTTTCCCCCTGCATTTGGCGATGCCGCCTCTTTTGTAGTCCGAGTGAATGTTTTTCTCATTCCACTCACACTCACTCACAGCAGCAGAGCGTGAGCGAAGTCTGGAAAATATTTATTGTTGTGGACCATCGCATAATAAATTTAAATGAGCGTGAAAAGGAACGTCTATATGCACATTGCGGGCTTAAGCAATTGCCCTTAGAATCACGAAGACACACATTTAATGGCCACTTTTATTCCGTCCATTTTTTATTGCCGCGGCATTTAATTTTATACACATTCATAATTGCTGAGTGCATTGAAAATGCAAAGACACACGAAGCAAGTGAATGCCATTGGAATGATTGTGTCTTTGATATGCGAAAGAAAAGCATTTATTTGATTTGTGTGTTCCGAAGCATCGTCGTCGACAATGACAACGACGACGACAACTAAAGCGGGCGATGTTCCGCTTTTGGCCGTGCCGAAGCTATGGTTTCACGCCAATTTATTACACATTATTGGCTTGCGATAACAGCGTACTGATACACTTTATGAGATGGAATTGCGATTAATTGCTCAAATCACTCAGCTCGTTGCGGTCGTGGCAACAGAAAAAAAAACAGCTAAAACAACGGAAAAAACGTTAAATTGGCAATTGGAAATTACGACTTTTAAATCGAAACGAATCGAATTGACTTGAACGGAGCCGAGCAAATCAGCTTCGGTAATCGGTTGCTGGTATGAACAACGATGAACCGAAATATGTAAGTTTAAAAGAAGTCAAAATCCTCAGCGATAATAATGGCAGCGTTGTTGTTGCTGCCACTGCCGTCGATGCTGCTGCTGCTTTTTCTTGCTGCTTTGCTCTTCTATACTTTCTGCTTCACATAGATAAAAAGAAACGACCAAAGAAGAGAATCGAATAAGAAGAGCTATTGCTCGCACGTATATAGAAGAAGAAGAAGAAG